GGGGGGGAATGTGACAGGCAGTGGTTGAATTTGTCAGCAGTGAGATGTGGGAGATGAAAAACGCACAGAAATTGAAAGTGTTGGTTTTGGAGTATCTTAGAGAAATGATGGCATATGACAACATAAAAGAACAAGAACAGTTTCAGGAGAAGGAGCAGTTGAAGGTGAATTTGTTGTGAAGTAGTAGTTGGAAATTGACACACTTGGGAGCGATTAGAACTGAAGCTTGGTGTATTGGAGATTAATTATGGTAAAGACTCCCTTTTCTGAGTCTGTGCAGCTTTTATGTGAATTTTTCAGGCTTTGGAGCTTAGAGGTCATTTTCACCTTGCAGCATAATTAATGCTTTTGCTTATTCCCTGATCTTGTTAGGAAAAAAGAGGGAGTTGTGGCTAGAGTTGTGGCTCAGTGGTAGAGTGCTCGCCCCTCATGCAGCACTGCGTTCGATCCTCAGCACCATATAAATGTAAAATAAAAAATATTTTAAAAAAGGAGTGAAGGAATTGATAAATACAAATGTGAAAATTTGTGAGCAGAATTTAAAGTTAGAATGATGGAAACACCAACCTATTTCAGAAGAATTGAGTCTTATGACAAAATATGCCAATATATGTTTTCATGGTGTTTAAAAGCAGTCATAAGTCACCTTTCCTAAGAGATGATGATATAGATGAATTGAAGTTTAGGTGCAGATGAATGAAGTGCCATTCAAGTCGCCTCATGCAGTTGGGTCAGCTAAGCAGATCTGCTCATCACTCCATGAGACATGCTGTTTATCTGCATCTTTTTTAAGTTTTTGTTTGAGCGGTTTTGCACGTCACCTCCATTAATTAGTAAGAGGCTTTCATTTTAGTATTTTCTTCAAAGTTTGAAGAAATAAATATGCTGGTATTGAATTAAGGCGAGTCTTTGGAGCCATCTAAAAATAAAATTATTGAACTGTTCTGGATGAATTTGAGATTGAGTGCTTTGAACTTCAAAATGTGCATTAGCTGACATTACTAGAAAATAATTGTTAGGTGGCTCTCTTAAATCTATTTATTAGTGTACTCATATAGCGGCACTTAAGCCTTCCTGGGTGTGTATGCTGTTGGAAGAAGAGTGAGAATGGGCCAGGGTAGGAAAGCCTTTCATAGAAACTGGTGCATTAGGAACCTCTGCTTTATTTCACCCCGGCCCAGTTACATATGCAGTTTCTCGGTTTTCTTAATGATGATAATTTTTTATTATGTTTCATTTGAATTAGCTCTGTAGTTTCTCCAAATACCACTGAGGTCATTTTTGGGCTTTTATTTTATTCTTGGCAAATTTTTATGGTTGAGAATAATACTACCATTTTACATTTGAGGAAGCAGGAGTGTTCACCCTAGATCAGTATTACTTTCCCAGTATGTCATCACACTGTGGGACATTAAATAGAATTTCAGTGAGAGTTTTCCAGTGCAGGACCAGTGTGAGGAATTTTAAGTAGAATTATCTCAAAATAAAAATGGTAGACTACTTTCAGTTCCCTTCCAGGTTTTAAGGATGGATCTTAGAAAGGATGTATTTGATTTTTTACTTTACTAATGATATCTAACCTTATTTTTTCCACCTTAAGAAATAGTGATTATAACCCTGCATATTTTTCTCCCCTGAACTTTTGTCACTGTTTCCAACTTCCCTGTAGCTGCTTTTTGTTTTCTCCATCAGTTTTCTGGCTTTGGCACATTGAAAATTTATTTGAAGAAGGTGTGGTGAGAAAAGATGAATATATTCAAGTCTATTTTGGTTGTTTAAAATTTTTAAGTTTCAAACATATGCAGAAATAGAGTAATACAATGACTTCCATGTATCCATTACACAGATTCAATAATTTTCAAATATTGCCCTATTTGCTTTATCTTTCTTTATGTAAAAAGTAAATCTTAGATTTGTCTATTACATCTCTCGTACATCAGTTTGCATTGCTTAAAAAAATTACAGACATTATATAAATGCAACACCAGCATTATTTCTGACAAAATTAACACTAGTTCCTCAATTTTAAGTTATCTAGTTCATAATCAGATTTTTTTCATTCTTAGAAATGTCTCTTTAGAGCTGATCTGTTCAAATTCAGATCAGATAAGCTCTTCAGGTTCCATTTGGTTAAAGACCTGTGTGTGTTGGGAGCCACTGGGGAGCTCTTGGTGACCTGCAGCAGCTTCATTTCCAGTTCCCTGTAACTCCTTTCTTCCAGATCACTTTTTCCTTTCTTGGAAGGGAGAAGGAATGGACCCTAAACTGGCATATTAAGAAATTGAAAGTTTATTTTAGAAATAAATATATGAACAGTCAATCTAGAGATTAGCTAAATCATATGGTCAGAGTGGTCCAGAGAGCATCTTAACGATCCCTTTCACATCTGATAGCATTGACTCAGGTCACTGAAATACCCTAGACTCATTTTCAAGGGTGATGCAGTGCCATGTAACTAACTACCCTAGGATAATCCCCCCCCCCCGAGTTGTCATACCTAAATGCCTTTCTCTCATTTTGGAGTAAAAATGGCAAAGCATGACTATAAAAATACCTTTGTCTAGTTCTTGTTAGATTAATCTTTGTTTAAGCCAGATTTACTATTTTTAAGATAAGCTTAGAAATTTTATTTTTTTCTGTGAGACAGATGAAATGTTTGTGTAATTTTCTTGATTTCATCTGATAGATAACCAAATTTTGTACTAAAGAGATGGTTTAATTTAGGGGGCATTATAGAGAAATCTAATTTTTTTTTTAAAAAAAAGAGAGTATAATGACAAATTGGCATACCAATTTTGTTAAAAAAAAATACATTTGATCAGAAATGCCTTTCTTGTGCTTAACCAGGCATTATTGACAAAAAGATGGAATCTGTGTCAGGGTTTGCATGTGTAGTTGGGCAGGTAGCATACTGTATAATGTAGATGTGAGGTATGCATGTGATAGTCAGCAGGTCCTGGCTGATGTCAGTAAAGCATCCTAAGGAAGGAGCACCCATTTCTGTGTTTTGTAGAGGCTTTGAGGGGTTAGCAGTGGTATTGTGGGTTATTTCAGTCTCTTGTTTTAAAATGAATATTTGTTGAAGTAATTAAGAACATGTATAGCAGTATCTTATAAGAGACTATCTCATAATTTAGCACTTGTTTATTAGCAATTTAGTTATCTGGAGTAGAGTCTACATACGAAAGAAAGTGAAACTGGGCCAGTAAAGTGAAAATAAATTGTACAGTCTGAACATCATATTTTATATTTAGAAGAACCTGCTAAATAACTGTGTCTGCAGTTCTAGCCCATGTTTCTGTTTTGTTTTCTAGCCCACTCATTTAAAAACAACACATAAAGGGAAGGAGGCTGCAGGAGTTAGTTAGTTAGCAGAAGCAGTACAGGATCCTGAAACCAGCTAACCAAGTGTAGAGGCTGAAACTTTAGGAAAAATGGATGCAGTAGCCCAGACAAACCCCATGGATTGGTTCATATTAGCAAATGCACATGGATTCCTAGCTCAGAAGCATCTAAAGGAAGTACTGTTCTGCCCAACAGGCAGCCAGATATCATACAGACAAACTGGAATTACCAAAAAATGGTAAATGGGGTTTGCCAAATCTTCTTTATTGAAAACAATTTGTAATATATTTAGAAAGCTTTTTATCAACTGAACTTTCAATAATTCAGGTACTTAAAATAAATGAGTGCCTGGGATTGTGTCTAATGAAAGTATGCCTTGTTCATGAATAGTTTACCTTTTCTTCTGAGTTCACCCATATGAATCACTACTTTTTCTAGTGATACCAGATATTAAGGTTTCTCTGCTTTGATCACTTTTAGGAATCTTTGTTTCTAACAAAGAGATTTGGGAAAAGCAAGTATATAAAAATTGCTTCTCACTTTGCATTTGTGATTATCTGACATACAGTAAAAACACTGAAATATTTGTTGCCTCTACGGGTGCTTAATTTTTGGTTTAAAAAAAAAAAAAGCCTATCCCACCAAAAATTATAACAGCTGTGAAAACTTGTAGTTGAAAGTCTCTTGACCTGTAAAAATATATTTTATGCTTTTCGAATTATAGGCTGAAGTCTTTGAGTGACAAGTCAAAAGAAGCTAAAGTAAAAAGCAAACCCAGGTAAGCTCAGGCTAAGATTCTAGTTTACCTTGACTTGAATTGCATAAGGCTTTTGATTGTAGTCATAATAGTAAAATTATTTAATGCATATTAGATCTGTTGAGTGCATCAACTACAAAATAATTTATTGATTCTAAATTTTGTAACAGGAAAGTTGTGAAATGGTTGAAAAAATGGTGAAGTGTGATTGTTCACTCTGATAATAAATAGCTGTTGTTTGATCATAAGTAATTTGTATGTTCAGAGAAAAGTAAAAGTCCTGCATCATTGTAAAGCATATTAATAATGAAATAGGACATGGTAAACGAATCTTTTTAGCTCTTGCTTGTTTTATATGAAAACACCAGTATTGTGCCCTTTGTTCATTTTTTTTTTCAGTAAAACATATGCTCAGATTTCACTTTCTACCTTGAGATGATGAACTTGGGTCATGTGTATTCTCTTTGTGTAGTGTTAAAATGTTTATTGTTTTATTTTCTGAAAATAATCTGCATGGGACAAAGTGACAGTTTGATATACTACAGTACATTAAATCTAACATAATACATTTTTCTAAAAGTTTAGATAAATTGTCAGTAATTTTAAAATATTGTTATAATTGATGGTGCTAGAATTCTTGTATGTAACTTTCTTTTTAAGATTCAATGTTGACAAAATTTAAGATTCTTTTTAAGATTCAATGTTAATAAAATAAGTGTTTCTTCTGGCAGGACTGTTCCATATTTGCCAAGGTACTCTGCTGGACTGGAATTACTTAACAGGTAAATGTTTTCCTTTAGAGAAGAAGGTTAAACTTCTGTTGTCTAAAGTTATTTTATAGATAAAAATTTTAAAATGCCTAAACATTACCTTAATATAGGGATTGGAGGTTATTATTACTTTTTCTTTGAGGCTTTTACTTTTCATTGATTAGTAGAAAGGACAGACTTCCACATACCACTATTTGCTAGTCAATAGTTAGCAATATGTGTTTATTATCTCTGATTTATTTACAGAAAACTGGATTCTGAATTTGAGTTTTCAATCAGGTTTCTTACTTTGATTCTTAATTTTATATCATTCATTTTCCAATCTGTTCCTATTGACATGCATACATAATAAAACGTGGTTTTCTTAGACATGACATCAAAAGCATGAGCAACAAAAGAAACAGATTGGACATGATCAAAATTAAACACTTTTTGCTTCAAAGAACACCACTAAGAAAGTGAAACCACCACCCTCAAAATGGAGAAAAAATATTTGCAGTCATTTATCTGATGAAAGACTTGTATCCAGAACATATAAAGAACATTTAAACTCAACAATAAAAAGACAACTCAGTGAAGAAACAAAGGATTTTAACAGACATTTCTCAAAAGAAATATACAAATGGTCAATAAGAACCTGAAAAGATGCTCAACATTATTAGTCCCCAGAGAAATGCACAGCAAAACGACAATGAGGTGCTACCTCATACTCACTAGCATCTCTATATTAAAAAAGATAGGCTATATCAAGTGTTGGCAAAGGTCTGAAGGAATTAACAACCTTATTCATTGCTGGTTGACTTGTAAAATTATGCAGCCACTTTGGAAAATAGTTATGTAGTTTCTTTAAAAATTACATATAGAGCCAGGTATGGTGGGCACGCCTATAATCCCAGTGGCTCAGAAGGCTGAAGTGGGAGGATTGTGAGTTCAAAGCCAGCCTCAGCAAAAGTGAGGCATTAAGCAACTCAGTGAGACCCTGACTCTAAATAAAATACAAAATAGGGCCGGGGAGGTGGCTCAGTGGTCAAGTGCCTGTGAGTTCAATTCCCAGTACAAAAATAAATAAATAAATATAGATAGATAGATATGTATAAATTTATAAATAAAATTACCTGTGACTTTGCAATTTCACTTCAATAGAGTTGAAAACATATATTCACATAAAAACTTTTATCTAAATATGCATAGTAGTATTATTTATAATAGCCAAAATTAGAATTTAAATGTCCATTAGCTGATGAATGCATAAACAAAATATATATCCACATAACAACAGAATATTATTCTGCCACAAAAAGGGAATGTGATATGGGTAAAACTTAAAAGCATATGCTGTGGGAAAGGAACTAGTGTAGATGGCCACATATTATATAATTCCATTTACATGAAATGTCCAAAAGACAAACGCATAGAGTCGAAAAGTAGATTAATGTTTAGTAGGGTTTGTAGGGAATTGGGTAGTGACTAGTGGGTATGGGTGATGAAAATATTTTGAAGTTAGTATGATCATTGCACAGCATTGTGAATATACTAAAAACTACTAAATTATGCACTTTAAAAAGGTATATTTTAAGGCTGGGGTTATGGCTTGGCAGTAGAGTGCTTGCCTAGCATGTATGAGGCACTGGGTTCAATCCTTAGCACTGCATACAAAAATAAATAAAGGCATGATGTCCATCTACAACTACAAAAAATGTTCTTAAAAAGGTATATTTTATTGTTATCAATTATACCAAAGCTATATTAAAAAATAAGTACTTGTATTGAAAATGTTATGTGTCATTCTATTCTCTGTAACATGTCGTCTGACAGATGTGTGGTAAGGATGTGCACTGCAGAAGATAGATACTTTTCCTTATCTATATTCATTTCTATACCATCAACTCTACCTACATTTCCCCTTTAATCCAGGGCCTCATGCTTGCTAGGCACACACACTACCACTGAGCTGCACCCCTAGTCCTGTTATTCAGTACCCACTCTCTTTCTGGGATGTTTAATGTTAGTTTTTTGTTTTTGGTGTTTTATTTTTCCCCCTCTGAAAGGGCCATACTTTCCTGTTTTTGCATATCCTGTAATTTTTTTTTAATTGAAGACTGAACATTTATATACTGTGGTAACACTGAAGATCAGATTTTTTCCCCTTTCCCAGGGTCTGCTATTTGTTTTTTATTGTGGTAGTATCTATGTGCTGTTGTCAGCCTACAGTGTAAATTTAAGGTTTCCTCGGATCTTTTCTGAGCTTATATCTTTCACTGGTCATGTGTGGTGACTTTCTAAATGTCCCTGTATCTGTGGTTCCTTTTGAATGTCTTAGTCATTAAATGTCTGATTCCCAAGGAGGAAAAGATAATGAAAAGGCATAAAAACCAGGTGCTGAACAGGAAGGATTTTTAATAATGGTTGCCTCTGTATCTGCATCTCCCTGATCAGAGGCAGCAACTAGTGATCAGAACATGGGTCCCCAGTTTGGAGGACCAGGTCCTCTTTGCCAGCCTAGCTCCCACAACCTGCATAGGAGCTGCTTCAGGAGCAATTGTGTGGTTGTCTGCCTTGGGGCTGGGGTTGGGGGATGGGTAGGTGTGGCTGTACTGAGAGCTAGATTGAAAAAAATTGATCTGTTTTCCATCCAAGCTTTCCCCTAGAAATCACAAGCCTTCAGTAGATGCCAATTTCAAATAGTTTCTTCAGATAGGTTCTGTCAGTACAGCTGTGGCCCAGGGAAGAAGGCAGATTCCTGGTGCTTCCCACTTTGGCATCTTCTTGGTGACCTCTAAATCATAGCTTTAGGCAGTGTGGTGTATAACAGTTAAAAGTCCGTCTCCTTAATGAGTTACCTTAGAAGGTAATTATTTATATATATGTTGATTTTTCTGATTATATTGTGAATTCTTCCACTAATTCTATATTTGAAGTATTATTAGAATAATGAATTATTGTATTATCAGGATGATTTTTTTTCTCCATTTTTCATCATTGATTTGCCATTTTAAAGACATTTGAAAGCATGAAAATTGAAGGCTTATATCCAGGATCTTTATAACAAGGCCACCCATTTGTTGAAAGTGACTAGATAGAGATGACTTTCAAAGCTTTGTGATATGTGTAACACCTGCTGTGTAGACTTCTGTGAGCGATCTTATAGGAATGAAATTTTAAAACTGCTGATTGGCAGGTGAGGCCCGTGCAAGGTTGGATAGCACGGTAATGGTTTGTATACCTTTCTATAATAATGCTCAGTAGCATAGGAGAGCAGAAAAAAAAGACTGGTTAGGTTAACCTGTGTTATTTTTTAAGGAATATCAAATACAGAAGGAAAAGTCAAGAACCAGTGCTGAACTGGTGGATATGAGGGAAGGTGATACAGTGGTAAAGAAGGTGTGGAAAGCACAAATACAACAGGGACAAAAAGGAGATGGTAGGAAAAGAATGATTGATCTGGAGTTTAAATGGCAGGCAGTGATGAATTTGCTCTTTTCCATTGATTGGAGAAAATGATAGAAAATTTTATCATGAAGCCCTGAATTTAAATTTTGAAGTGAGTGTATTTATTTCTTCACTTGGCAGGCATTTAATAACTCCCCTGTGCTAGGTACTAGAGCTTTGAGATGCTGAGGTAAAGTCCATCTCAGCAACTCTGATGCCTACATTTAGTAATGTTTGGCATTCGGTGAATCTTGTTGATTTTAATTGATACTTACACAGTCTGATACACCAGAGAAAATTTTCAATCTTTCTGTTAGTTGACAGTGACAGTAAGACTATTAATTGTGTGACCTTCCACCTTGCCTTTCATTACAAATATACATATGTACACTGATAACACTCTGTTGGGGTTGTCTAGATTTATTTTCCTATTTAAATTCAACAGGAAAATTGTAAATTTCTCTGTAACTATAAAGGGAGGTAGTATAAATTCATTGAATACATAGTCCCTTTCAGAGAATTGTCACTTGAATAGTTAGAATTTTAGATAAGATGGAAAATCACGTTTTACATCAGCAACCATGTGTGAATGGTGCAGAAATTGTATTTTTTAAATCTTGAGATCATTTTATACTTAAAAACGATTATAAAAATAGATCAAGGAATTCGGTCTTTCCTGATTTTGCATAACTATGATAATCATGATCAGAAGCAAAAAATTAATGTTGGTAAATACTGTAACTTTTATTCAGATTTCTGTAATTGTCTTGACTAATATCTTTTTTTCTGAACCAAGATCCAGTCCAGCATCACACATTTTATTTGGTCACTATGCCTCCTTTATCTCCTGTAGTCAGAACACTTCCTGAGTCTGTCTTCTCATGATCTTGACACTTTTGAAAAGGACTGGTTAGTGTTTGCAAAATGTCCTATTAACTCAAGTTTGTTTCCTCTTTCCTAATGAATGAATTCGAGTTAGTGCCCTCTATCAGAAAACACTAGAAGAGTGATTTTGTGTCCTTCTCAAGTACACCATATCAGGGGGCACCTGATGTTGATATTTCTCATTGCCCTTGATCATCCTGAATCCTTGCTTATGAGTATCTGCTAAGAATTGGATAGCATGTCTCTATAATGGTTTGTATACATACTGTTCACTCTCTTCTCACCATTTTAGTTAATGTGTATCCTCTGGAGAGATACTTTGAGGCTATGTTAATATCCTCTTTCTCTTCGTACTTTCATCCACAAATTTTAAATCCATTAGAATTCTTTCCTGAAACAGTTATTTTCTTATATTTACCAAGTAGTGATTTTCATCATTTCTTTTAAAATTAATTGGCATTCTATAAACAAGAGTTTTTCTCCTCTCCTTCCTTTATTTATTCAACTATTTGTTTATATCACTACGGACTCATGGATGTTTGTTTTATTCTTCAAGTTATAATCCATTACTACCATTATTTTTTTTTTGGTTGCTTTAATTGTCCCCATATTTGGTCATAGAAGCTTTTTAAAGTTCTTGGAACATGTCCCCTTATTTTTTGAGCTGCTCCTTTCTGGAGTGGTATTATGTTCCAGGTTCATCTTTTTTTTTTTTAAATTCTAATTAGTTATACATGACAGTAGAATGCATTTTGACACATCATACATAAATGGAGTATAACTTCTCATTCTTCTGGTTGTACATGATGTAGAATCTACTGATTGTGTAATCATACATGTACGTAGGGTGATAATGTCTGTTAGTTCTTCTATTCTTCCTACCCCCATACTCCCTCCCCACCCTTCACTCCCCTCTGTCTAATCCAAAGTACCTAAGTACCTCTTTGTCCCTAGCCCCCACCCCTATCCCCACTTATTGTGAATTAGCATCCACATATCAGACAAACCATTTGGCATTTGGTTTATTGGGATTGGCAATAGTATTTATTTTTAATGTGTGATTTTTTTCATTTTGAATTGTTTTGCTTTTCTTAGATATGAAGATACCTGGGCTGCACTTCACAGAAGAGCCAAAGAATGTGCAAATGCTGGAGAGGTAAAGGATCGGCTAATTTTATTTAACTATTTATTCATATTGGTGCCAGCGATTGAACCCAGGGCTACTTAATCACTGAGCTACATCTGTACCCAGTCCTTTTTTTTTTTTTTGGAGACAGAGTCTTGCTGAGTTTCTTAGGACCTCACTAAGTTGCTGAGGCTGTCTTTGAACTTGGGATCCTCCTACCTCAGCCTCCTGAGCAACTGGGATTACAGGCACGCATGCTCATCTAGAATTGTCTAATTTTATATTCATGGGAAATTTTCCTTTTCGATGTTAAATGTTAATTTATTAAGAATTAAGTTTATTATTGTATGGAAGTATTTTGCAATACTTCATATTCAATCCCTGGCATCTAAATAAATAAATATCTAATATTGAATTTAGTTCAAACTCCCAAAATAATAATATTATTTTGGTGCTGGGGATTTAACTCAGGGGCATTTTGCCACAGAGCTTTATCCTCAGCCTTTTTTTTTTAATTTTGAGAGAGAATATCATTAAGTTGCTTCAGGTCTTGCTAAGTTACTGGACTTGAAGTCCTCCTACCTCAGCCTCTGGAGTCACTATTATAGGTGTGCTCTACCTTGCCTGGCTCACACTTTTTTTTCCCCCCCCAACACAATTTCTCAGTCTGATAATTTAGTTTAGTTGGGTTGGAGAATTTTTAACTTTTATTCTAAGAACAGTGAGATATTTGATTCATCTAGTATAATGCTTTGAATTATAGTTTGATAACTTTGTAGTATATGTAAATTATGAGATGTGATCTCATTCTACCCACTGTTAAAGAATTTCTTACTGTTTGGGCAAAAGCTTAGCTTTGCTCAGTCTACCTAAAATCAACACTTGGTTTAACAAATAAAAAAGTTAAGTATATAAATAATATATACAAGTATATGTATATATAAAATATAAACATTTCAGTGATTTGAATGCTGTTTAAAGAACAAATTTATTTTTAGGTATTTATAGAGTATATAATGAATGAAAGTAACTTGTATTTAAAATTATTGGTACACACACTTAAAGCTTTACTAGCCATGGTCAAATGCTTTGTGTTATTAATGTCAGTTAAACTTTCTCTTAGATATTTCTGTGTGTCTGACTTTTGGATTTAAGACTTTCTTTACCATCTACCTATGTTAGAACAAAGGAATATTTATAATGACCTTTAGATACTAGTATTTCTTTCTCTTAGAAATTGCTGAGAAGAGGGGAATGTTAGTTTCTGGCAGTAAGGCAGAGTAGTCACAGCCATATGCTGCATGACCAAGTTTCTCAGTCAACCTTGGGCTAAATATATAATGAGAGCACCATTGAATGATAATGGACCTGAAATGCAAGTGATGTCACAGCTGAGGTTTTTTCAAAGTGCAGCATGTTACTCATGTTTATGGTGGTGTTGGTGTATACATACTGCACTGCCATGTAACTCATACAATTATGAATAGCACATAAAATAATAAAGGACAATGTGGCTGGTTTACATATTGACTGTCCTTTTTATTATTTTAAAATGTACTCCTACTTATTTAAAAACAACAACAACAGAAACAGTTTACCATAAAACAGTGCGCCATGTTTTGCATACTGTTAACGTGCTATTCCACAGCAGCCTCATCTCGGTTTACCACATCTTGATCGCATCATTTTCCCTTGTGCTTGATTTATTTTTATGTTATCTTGTTCATCATGGCCCTTAAGTATACAAAAATAGCTGCTAATGTTGCCATTAATAGGCCACATCGAATAATTGACCTGCTAACAAAATTAAAAGTGACGAAGGACTATGAAGATGGAAGCGCAGCAATGTTATCACTTGGCCTTAATCTAGAGCAGAGTGATGGAAGCTGTTAAAGGACCTGCTTCTTTGATGAAGGCAACGAGAGTAACAAATTCAAGAGGAGCCTGTGTCAGATACTGAGAAACTTCTAGTGGCCTGGATTGAAGACCAGAAGCCCATCCCTGTCAGCACCAGGACAATCATGGCCATAGCAAGAGATTGTTCACAGTGTTGAAAGAAAAGGCCGGACCCACCTCTGATATTGAATGTGCCACCAGCTGTGGGGGTTTAAGCTATTCAAGAATCGTTATTCATCATAGAATGTGAAAGAATGTTGAGTCCGTGAGTGCTGCTGTGAGGGCAGCTGAGGGGTTTTGGAAATACTAGATAAACTTATCATGGAGGAAAATCACCTGCCAGAGCAGATCTTCAAGTGGATGAAAGCTCCCTGTATGGAATAGGAGGACTAGAAGGATTTTTACCCCATAAGCAGCCAGGTCAGCGTTAGGTTTCTTGGCTTGCAAGGAGAAGACAACAGTTTTGCTTGAGGGAAATGTTGCAGGCTACAGATTGAAACCCTCTCATACCCTCTGACATTGTGAGAACTGCAGGACTTTCCAGCATATCAATAAGCACACACAGTGTCCTGTGGAACAATAGGAAGTCATGCATGACCCAGTCCTCTTCTAGAATGCCTCCTGAGAGCTTTGCCAGCAGAATGGAGAAGCACTGTTTGGAGAATAACATACTTTTCAAAATATTGCTTATTGTTGGATTGTTGGTAATGCTTGTATATATCTGCCTTTTATTGGTGATCTTCATCCCTTTGTCAAAGTGGTGTTTCTCCTTCTAAATATCACCCTTTTGATCTGTATCAAGGACTTACAGCAACTTTTAAGGCCTACTACTGGAGGAGGACTTTTGCCCTGGCTAGTACTGCAACTGAACAAGATGCTGAGAAGATGCTGCTGCAGCCCGAACTTTACTTGGGCTTAGGGTGATTTCTCCATGGAGTATATGCTGACTTCTGGAAGAAGATATTCAAGAGGTTTGTCCATGACTTCAGAAGATTCACCAAGGAAGAGGCTGCAGAAATCAACAAGATACAAAGAAAATATTTTTGTATAACTGTACAATATGTTTGTGTTTTAACCTGTTACTATATAAGTCAAACTAAAAAACTATAGTAAACTAAGTTTATTATTTAAGGAAGAAAAGTCTACTGTAGGTACAATAGTGTCCTGGGCCTACACATTTCTTCTCCACTTACTTGCTGACTCCCCTAGAGCAACTTCCAGTCCTGCACACTCCAGCCCTGGTAAGCGCCCTAGACAGGTGTATCTCCTCCCCGCCCATACCATATTTTTACTGAATCATTTTTTTGTTTAGATATATTACAGTTTAGATTGTGTTTCAGTTATCTACAGTATTCTATATAATAACCTGCTGTACTGGTTTAGGAGCCATAGCTATCTACTATGTAGTCTAGGTATGTAATGGGCTACACCTTTTAGGTTAAAGTGCTCTCTATGGTATTTGCACAAAGATGAAATTGCTTACTGGTGCATTTCTCAATATACCCTTTTGTTAATTGACTCCTGACTACTTTGAAAAGCCCTGTAGTAGCAGGGTGTGGTCTATAGCATGTCTATAATCCCAGTGACTGGAGGCTGAGGCAGGAGGATCACAAATTTCATTATCCCAGGCAAGTCAGTGACCCTGTCTCAAAACAAAAAATAAAAAAGGACTGTAGATGTACCTACAATGCCCTTGAGTTCAAGCCCTAGTACTGCCAAAGAGAGAAAGAAAGGGAAACAAAGCCCTGTAGCCTTGAAACACGAGTATGTGTTCTCTCTCTTTCTCCCTCCCTCCCCTTCTCCCTCTCTGTATATATAAAAGTATATATTTATGTATAACATATAAAAAGTCATGGATGACCCAGATCCCCTTCTAAAATGCCTTGAGTTTTAGGTTACATATGAAAGAATACCTGTTTATATATTATAAATATTGCATATAAGAATTTTTGTATGTATTTAAAAATGCATTAAGCTCACAAAAATATATAAGGATGTATATTTGAATATAAGAATTTATAATATACATTAAGCTCACAAAAATTAAAGAAATTAAAAGGCTTAAAAATGAATAAGGAACTAAAATCAGTGTTAAAAATATAAAATATGGAATCTGGGTCAAATAGTAAAAAACTTTTGGAGATTTAAGGGGATAGAAGACTTGGGAACTGAATCTGAGACACTTACATAATGCTCTTTGAACTTTGAAGTGGCTACATCCCCTAGTGAAAGGTTATGGTCTACCTATTGGCAGAAGGAGCCAACAAGGAAATCTGTCAGTATTCCTGAACAAATTGGCATATGGTTTTGGCCTCACATAATTAATAATACCTTCTAAGGAACTGAGGAACTCAGTTAGGAAATGAGAGTCACAAGTGACTGCATTTTGACAACCAAGAAATTCTTCATAGATGAAACTCTGTCTGCCTGGAGCCCTCAGATTCCCACAGATTCTGGTCCCTTCCTCCCAAATAGTAGCAAACACCCAAACCCTCCAAGTTGTCAGAACCAGAGACTTCTCTGCTTTCCAAAAGTACAATTCCCAGCTGCAATAATGAAAATGTACTTCAAAGCCCTCTGTAATGTGTTGAGACATGTAAATATTTAAGTGTGTTTATTATTAGTCGTGTTAAACTTATCACATGTTTATTTTATCAGACCTGCTCATGTGTCTTTGTCAGCTTTTAACTCAACAGCATCAGTCTCTTGGGGCAAACATACTCATAGACAATTCAGTCTTGTTTAACAAATTATTTCATACTTACCTACTTTAAAGCCAATTCTAACTATGTAATTTTACAATTTAGAGCAGTATCTTAAAAAGCAAATGTCTGTGGTCAATAGTAAAACTTAGTTGCCTAGGCTTTTTCTAAACAAGTTCTGATATTTTTCCCTTCCTTAGCAATCGGTAAGTGAATACAGAGTTAATAGTGACTTAGGAGTTAGAGCCTGAGGGCAGTTTTCTGAAGTTAGACCTCTAGTGTTTTGCTTCTAGCTTACTAAAGTTGTTCAAAGATCAAATGAAATAATATATCTCCTTTGACTCTGAACTGTGCAATTTTGTATAGAGTGAGGTCTTGTTATCCACATTGTAAGTCATTGGTGTTCCATGCTCATTCTTTATTTGCCTAATCTCAGTGGCTGCCAGAAGGGATTTTAGAATGAAGCCCTCTGGGTTTGTCCTGCTCCTTAAGTTGATTTCCTATTATTAAAATTGGATTTGTTGACTTAGAGGTAGAAAATTGAATTTCTGGGAATAAATTATTTTTTATCATAATCTTATAGCCTATGTTCAGAATGTAATTTTTAATTTTGTGGAAGTTATATAAGATAAACTATCATTAAGTTTTAATATTAAATATTGATGGGTTGGGGCTGTAGCTCAATGGTAAAGCACTTGCCTTAGATATGTGAGGCACTGGATTGGATCCTCAAGACCTTTGATTTTTAGTAAGGAATGATTAATATTACAGAATTGTTTATTATAGATTTAACAACTTTTCAAAAAGATATGCCATATATATTTACGCACACATATATACAAGGATGGGGGGCGTGTGTGTTGTTTATTTATTTATTGTGATATAGGAGATTGAACACAGGACACTCTACCACTGAACCACATTACCAACCCCTTTTTCAAAATTATTTTCGTTTTTGAGACAGGATCTCCCTAAGTTACCAAAGCTGACCTTAAACTTGGGATCCTCCTGCCTCAGCCTCCTGGGCAGGCCCCCAAGTTGCTGGGATTATAGGCATGCACTACCATGCCTGGCTCAGGCAAAATGTATTATTTATGTCCCTGTAATAAAGGAGTTTTGTTACAGTTTAAAGTCTGAAGCCAAGAGAATTTGAGAAATCTTCCACCAAACTATGCCTGAGAGTGCAGGATATTCTTTATTCATCTCCAGTGCCTAAAACAGGAATTAGCAAATAGTGGGCAGTCAATAAAAGTTGTTTGAACTTTAGAAATGAATTTTGTGAACACAGATCTTTGTTTCAAGCCAATTCCTTACCATATCACAGTTGTATCTTTTATTGCAGTTTAGTACTTTTTTAGTAGTTTTAAAACTACTTTTAGAGATTATTATAAAGACCAGTTGACAATCGTGATATCTGCCTATGGTCCCAGCTACTTGGAGAGGCTAAGACAGTGTGGCTTTTGCCCAGGAATTCAAGGCCAGCCTGAACAACATAGCCAGACCCTCATCTCTTAATAAATAAAATAGTAAATAAATAAAAAATTAAAAAATAATGAGAAGTACAGTTCACAGAAAACTTGGTGTCACCTCTTCCCCTCAACAAAGGCCTGAATATGAGAGATGGTATCATTATTGCCCCACTGTGGGCTGGAAACAATAGGGAGACACATTGTACTCTTTTTATTTTTCAGATATGAGTGTTTCTACATTTTAATATAATAAAAAATCTAGTAGTAATAATAATGTAGTAAAATAATAATTTTGTATCTTAATTTTGATATATTAATTCCTCTAAAATTCTTATATTTTGAGATATGAGAATCAGTTGTATTCAGTCTAACTCTTAAAGAATTTTAATCTCTTGTAATGTAAATTCTTTCTATAAAACTGAATTCAATGATTTTGCATATCAAATTCAAATGATTATGTAATGGATTTTGCAACATTTATTGTACAGAATATGGGTATTTGTCACAATTCTGGCTTCTTGTTATTGGCCATGTTTTCAAATAGTGACCTTTCACCCCCTGCATCTTATCCCAGGTCCTTTCCTCTTTCACCATGTTAAGACCAAAACAAAATTGTTTGGGAGAAACTAATGGGTGTTACTTTCTTTACAGTCTTTAGGAAAAGAAGTTAGAATTATCTTAGGCTAGCCTAGTATCTCTTAACCCTGCTGTTAGGACTTTTTAACATCTGATTTACTTGTTTGGTGATGTAAATCTTTTGCTGGAATTGCACACAATTACCTATAGTTCTTTGGTATACGTCAATATCTTTATTGTCAATATCTTTATGCAGGAAATATTCCTGCTTAACTATGAAATCATCAGGTTATTTAAAATGCATTAGGAAACTTCTGTTATGAGAATTCCTTTGTAAAACAAATAATTACCTGCTAATTATGTTTTGATTTGTTATTGTTTGTTTTCTTTTTGATTACTTGTGGTAGGTTTTTTTTTTCTCTTTAGATTTTCAAATAAATGGTTTCCTTAAAAATAGATTATACGTAGAAGTGATTTCAAAAGTCATTTTTGAACTTTCTCTTCTTTGGGTTAAGATGCACTGTCAAAAGCAACAATTTGAGGTTTCCTGTACTGAATAAGTCAGTTCTTTTCTGAAAAAAAAAAAAAAAGAAAACAATCTCAGGCTTGTTTAGCATGTAGTATCATCTGTGCTAAGTAGTGGATTGTTAAATTAACAGTGACTGAATCTTGTACTAGCTGTAATTTCTTCATACCCAAGATCTGTTTTCCTTTGCCTTTCTGGGTCTGTGTTGCAGTTGGTGGACAGTGAGGTGGTCATGCTTTCAGCACACTGGGAGAAAAAGAAGACCAGCCTGATAGAGCTGCAAGAACAGCTCCAGCAGCTTCCAGGTTTAATAGCAGACCTAGAATCCATGACAGCAAATCTGGGTAAGTTGGATGTTTGTTTCTGTACATCACATTTTGGAATGAAAACAGTTTTGGCAGGATTTGGTGTAATTTCAAAACTTTCCAAGAATACATTGTTTCTGGCTAGCAGGATGTTTTGGGAAATAGTGAATTTTTAATTAATTCAATAGTTTGATTAAGGATTAGACAGAAAATTATTTAAATTGTATAAATTTCTAGTATTCCACTGATGTTTTCTGTTTCAGTTCACATCAGGAAATGTAATTTTTATTCTGACAGTTCTTTATGTGACTCTGTACTATCTTTGGGACATTAGGCCTTTTTGTTTAGAAGTGTTAAATGTAGCAAGTAAGAGGGGTTAGGGTGACTTTGTCCTTACTGTAGGATGTCCTCCAGAAGACATTGCTTTTAAAGTATAGGTCCACTAGCTTCACGTCTTGCACAAGTTTTCCCTCCTCAAACAAATCCAGTTGAGGTATCTGTTTGGCTAAGTTTTAACTTTGTTGTTTTCATTTGGCTGGATTATATTGATATCCTTTTTTCCTTAGGTTTATAGTCAGAAAATTATTGTTTACAATGCTACATCTGAGTATAATATCATGGCTAACTCTGTCAGAGGACGAAATTACAACAATTTGAAAGTCCTAGTTGGCTTTATTTTCAATTCTAAAATCGGGCAACATTTCATTTCATAAATTATAGTGAATGTTCTAATGAGCTGAGCACAGGAGGTTAGTAGTATAGCCAGAAAGCACTGAGGGAAGCAGAAACAAAAGACAGATGGGTCATTTGAAAGTTACTCTGTAGAGTGTGAGCAAGGAGACGAAATAATAGAAAAATGATTGTGTACTTCCAGAAAAAGTTAACATCAGGTTACTTCAGATTACTTTTTTTGTGTAAGGATTAGGGCAGAGGAAATTTTATTATTATGCAAGGGGAAACTGGCCTGTTTGGGAAATTTGGCTATTTTCTTTTTACTCCTAATGTTTCAGGAAAGTCAAATAAACAGCACAATTTCAGTTTGGTGAGGTGGAACTTTAGCATTAAGTGAATTCATTTTTAGTTTTGTCCTGATGTGTTGTGGCTTACCATAGGAGCTTATTCCAAAATAATGGCCTCCATTTTTTTAAAGTGAGCCTTTCTGTAATTTTTTTAGTGCTGTTTTCTAACCAAGCTTAGAATCTTAGTCAAAGAGGAGGCTGAAGCTATCTACATAGGATGTAAACTTCTTGAGCTGATAACTTGATTCAGTCTTACAGATGAGAAAGTAAAGGTACTCTATCATCTTTTCCTGTTTTTCAATATTACCTTATTTAAAACAGTACAAAACTGATTCACAAAGTAATAAATCACACACCAGGTTTTTTTGTCTGAATAAAATAGACAAATGATATCAGAATGTTGTTGCTTGTAATAGTCGCCAACATTTATAGCATTGACTGTGTGTCAGAGTTGTTAGGTACTTTACAGATACTATCTTTAATTGACACAAAACCTTATTAAAGTAGCTTTTCTTATCCCTGCTTTACCAATAAAGAACCTAAGCCTTGGAGAGGTTGTGACTGTATAGGGTCTCATTTGGCAGGATGTGGACCCAGGATCCCAGCCACAGCAGTGCCCTCTGAGGTGGTGGTGAGGCATTAGGAGGGCAGCTGTCAGTTGGCCTTCCCTAACCATCTTCTTCAAACCTTCTGGCCATTACAGACACTTCTTGGGCTGGGACTTTATGAGGTAGGGCATGGAGAAGAAATTCTGGTCCTAGGAGAAGTGTCAGATTTCCCTCTGTGTGGAGTTTTTCCTCCTGTAGATATAGGAATGACGCTGCTTAAGCTTTGGGTAACTGACAGAAAGAACCTTCAAGGCATCTGGGCTTTTCTTCTCAGCCGCTTCATTTAGCTTACTCAGCTGCAGCTCTGTTCGTCATGTGCTTTCATTGGTCATGTGTTTCTTTGTAGATATTCTTTTATGATGACCTTTCTCTCTCTCTTTCCCCCCAGCTGGGAATAAATTCTACTTATAGATATTTATTCTTTATTTACTACCACTCCACTGAACTAAATGCATTTGCCACAGTTATTATTTTTTAAATACTTTTTATATTTATTTTTTAGTCGTACACAATACTTTTATTTTGTTTATTTGTTTTTGTGTGGTGCTGAGGATCGAATCCAGGGCCTCACGCATTCTAGGCGAGTGCTCTACCGCTGAGCTACAACCCCAACCCACACAGTTATTATTTTCATAGTTAATTGTTTTTAGGAAATGCATCAACATAAGTCTTTCTTAGAATATGGTATATTTTCATTCTCAATTAATATTCTATAGGCTAGGGCTGTAGCTCAGTGATGGAGCACTTGCCTAGCATGTGTGAGGCACTGTGTTTGGTACTCAGCACCACATAAAAATAAACAAATAAAATAAAAGCACTCTGTCCGTATACAACTAGAAAAAAAAAATTTTAAAAATTCTAACCAGGTATGGTGGCGCATGTTTATAATCCCAGCAACTTGGGAGGCTGAGCAGCAGGATTCCAAGTTCAACACCAGCCTGGGCAACTGAGAGACCCTGTCTCAAAATTAAAAAGATGTGGTAGGGATTGGGGTTGTAGCTCAATGGTTAAGCACTCATGGGTTCAATCCCTAGTACCAACCACCAAAAAAAAAAAAATAATAATAATATCCTGAAAACATTTGATATTTTTTAAAACAGGACCTTACTCTTTAGAAGCTACATTTGGCTTCTTAAAGGAATGAGATAGGCTTCCCAAATGCTCATTTAAATGCTCTCCTTTTTACTAATCTGAGAACATTTACCACTAAAAGCAAATTAAAGCTAAAGGATTCTCTGAAGTACTCTTCTGGACATATAGTCCACTTCTAAATAAACTTGAATCATTTACTGCCCCCAGTCTGTATATAACTTATTTTGAGCCCTTTTTGGCAAGTTCAGTTTGCTTAAAAGATACCTCTAAAATCTAGATGGTTCATTTTTTTATGTATATTGCCAATGAAGTTATTCACTAGCATCTGAAAAACACATTTCCTTCAGAGTTCACTGCTATTAGTTGCCTGATATTTCTACTGAATGTCAATGAATAACTACAAGACAGAAAGTAAAAACTTGGAATCCCAAGGCCTAAGGTTACTGACCCAGAATAAGCTCATTGAGATGTTTTGAAATTGTGAAACTCAGCAGAGTAGCCCCAGCAACCCGCGGAGGGGCAGAGCTGCCCCACGCGCCTGCAAGGTAGGCGGACCTGTGACCCACCAGCAGATCAGCCCCAGCAGCCTGCTGAGAGGCA